AAAGGTATATAAAGCGTAGTGTAACGTAGCGGAACGTAGCGTACTATTCAACACATTATAAATATTACATAGAGGCTCCACTTCTTTTTTATAAATCTGAAACCAGTACGAAACACAACAACTAATACTTTTTTTTTATACTACTGAGGTTAAGCTAACTTTTATCTCTAGTTGAATGTACAAAATTTACTCCAACACCTATACCTACTCTACTTTTACGTCTCTTAAACCACCTTTTATACAATCTATATATTTGAAACGTAGTGTATCTTTTAAACTATATATTTGTGAGCGGATGCAAACCTTTACCTATAGATTTTTTCCTACTTACTTGTACTTCGTGTATTTGGAATGTAGTGGAAACTAACCAAGTGTACTTTTTTATACTTAGTGGAGGGTGTAAGCAAACCTTTACACTATTTATCTCAATTTATACTACTACTGCAGACTACCTACATCTTAACTACACGTACGATTTTTAATATAGGTACTTTGTATACGAATTTCAGTTTTGATAATTTATCCATTTAATTTACAACTGTAAAAAAGGAATTAGGTGCACATGGTAATTTTTAATAGAATATTTTAGTTTAATAGGTTCGTTACACTCGCAGTTTTTTTATTATGAACAACTATTGTACACCTACTGTTTTCTAGTACACCTTTTCTTTATAGTATTGATGTGTGTACGAACTTATGCTCCAAATATTCAACTATTTCCAAAGTAAAGGTAAATGTTTAATTATTTAGATATGTGTGGTGTTGTGATAATTGTAACCATATTCACAAATAATACTGCAAGCCTAAGCATACCTATTATTGTATATTTTTAATTCAAAATAGTCGTAGTATGGATGTGGTATATATATAGGGTAGCGGTACTCTCCAAAAAAGGTGTGTATAAACCTACGTTAACTAATAAAGAATACCGAAAACGCAACCGTAAAAAAAAAAAGGTATACTATTACGCAAAATTTAACATTAAAAAAGAAGATATTCCGAGTAAACGAAATAAAATATACGTCTATTAAAGTGTCGCACAACCACTTATACTTTTAATTTAAGCGGAGTGGAAACGGAGCGACCTTTTGCGCGTATACGTTTAATTTGGGGTTACGCATGTTTTAAATCGTAATCTAAAGCGTAGCGACATGTTGAAACATACCTATCTTATATGTGGTGGTATAGTATACATTTTCCGTTTACCTTTATATTTGGGGTATCCACTTTGTATTCTTGCCTTTAGTTTATTTTATCCGTAATCTTAAGCGTAGTGTAGCGGAGCGTAACGTAGCGTATAATTCCTACATATCTATAATATTATATGTTAAATATTGTGTTATAGATAGTATTCATAGGTATAGGTTGTATCCGGGTATTTTAAATTAGAAATAGTAAACATAGAAGAAACGGTTAAAAAATAAGAGTTATTTATATGAAACTAAGCATAGTGTAGCGTAGCGTAACGTAGCGACACTTTAGTAGACGTATATTTTATACCGTTTACTCGGAGTATCCTTATATTATATTTTTTTACGTTAAATTTTGCGTAATAGTTTACTTTTTTGCGTTACTTTAAGCGGAGTGTAACGGTAGTGGAACGGAGCGATATTTTATAATATTTATATGCCTATCCCACCTCCTACGTAACCTATTTAATATGTATATGAGAAAGTAGACTTCTCCGTATAAATATAATATATTACACCTCCAATACGTATACTTAGGTATTTATATCACCTGTAAACTTTGGTACCCACCAATTATATCCTACACTAGTATACCACCTATATTTTGTATTAGTAGATTTTACTTTTATACATCTTACTTTAGACATACTATTTATACATGTTAAATTTTTTCTGTAATCGGTAGTTATTTAAATTATTCACTTTTATATTAGGTAAACTACTAATAAATGAAGGTATACTTTAAGGTAGACGTATTTATTTTTATACATCATCAGTAACGATTAACGGACGCAAACGTCCTCAGGATGTTTTTTAAATTTGTGAAATACACGTAATATACGCAACATTCGAATCTCTTATTATATATATGTTGAATTAAACCTAATACGTATAATTTTACTCCTTAATTCAAACAATTACGCCACATTTTGGATATTATACACAATAATAATACTACTAAAGTGCACGTAGTGAATGATACCTATATTTTATATTGTAGAACTCAAACTTTAAACGTAGAATTTAATATTAGTACACATAATAAATGTGGAGTATACATAAAAGAAGAGGTACTCACAAAACTAAAGTGTTATTAGGTGTAAAGTGTGTAGTATTAGTGTTAATAATTAGTATACAATATAAAGAATACACAGATGTTGTAGTCAAACATATATTAAATTAGGTGAGGCGCATAATTAAATGAATATAAGTAATTTATAGGTTAATGTGTAGACCTGAAGTAGTATAAGAAAAACGTAAAATTTTGGGTTCCATCGATAACAGTATAATTTATGTAGTAAAGGTACAGTAGATAAACGATATATGCATTAGTAGTATACTCTGTGTAGAGCCATTTTACACTACCTATTATATATACATTAATATTTAGTTATAAAGGAACCTCTAGTTGCCTAATTTTTTTTTTATTTTAAGATTTTTTATGAATATACTCTTTTTTAAGATTTTTTATATCTTTTAATTTCTCCGATAATGTAATGGTTGCATATCAGGCTCATAATCTGATAGTGGTGGTTCGATTCCTCCTCGGGCTTATAAAACTACGCAATTATAACTAGCCTCCACATCCAATGGATAATCATTTTATGTTTTTTTACACAAATAGAAATAGTGTAACATTTCTAATAGCGACCATCTGTATTGCTTTAGAGGCGCGCGCCAAGTTTGCTAATTTAGAATTAGTCTTTGATACTACGTAGTAACACAATAGTATAATATTTTGTTGTATAGGTTTAAATCTATAGGTATTAATAGCCAACTCTTTAAATTGCGGAAAAAAATAAATTGGTTACAATATTACATTATCACTGTTCAACAAACTATCTGCACTATTACATATGGTTATATGCAACTTATACATTATGTTCTCAGTACTGGTATTATTGAACTCTTCATTACCGTTGCACTTACATTCCTAGTTTACACACCCTGTTACAAAAATTTTTTTTATACACCTGTGAGTATTGCGAACCTCTTACCTATTACATATTTTTCTTAGCGACATATACCTATATATTTGAGAATGCACCATTACAGTCGTACTTTAACTTATATTTTTGATATTTTTTGTGGTGTTGACACTACGTTATCCAAAGGGGTAATCTTAGGCTTTTTTTTTCAGTCGCAGTAAAATAGGTATATAAATATAGTATAGGCTTAACCTACGTATATTAATATAAATTTAGAGGCGTGAGGCTCCTTACAGTCGCATGTGTGAACCTATTTATTCTAGCTACCTAAAAATTACAGTTTTTTTAACTTATTTTAAGATTTACACTTGGAGTTTTATATTTGGTATGCATAGGTTTGTAGTACTCACCTAGTAAAAGTAAATTTAATAGTATAATTGTAAAATTTGGTATATGTTATCAATCAAAAGTATAGTAGGTTCACATCTGATTTAATATTAATTTTTAATAGTATTTTGATATGTACGGAAATTTTTTCATTTAATAGTATCCAATAAACTGAAACTTACGTCAATTAAAAACCAGAAATTGCATTACATATGTTTTATTTAATAAGTACGTAACTCAACTATTAAGTATTACAACCAGTAAAATACTCTACAGTTCACACCTATAAATAAATAGTATTAAAAGGAGGTACAAAAGGCATAATTTATATATAATAAGGATGAAATAGAGGTTTTAATGGAGGTAAACCAAATAGTTAATATTAGTATTCGTTACGTTTTTTACCCAGGAACTTGAAGTTTCCTCTCTTTAGTGCTTCATCCAATACACCGCTTATACATATACCTATTATTACTTATCCTTTTATTATTACTGCTTTCTTTTTAAGGTTCACAATTGCGAATGTATGCGAAGGTTTTGTCTGAGCTTATCACCTTAATCCTATATGTTTATTTGTGCTACATAAATTTTTAGTATTTATTACTACTAATATTAAAAAAAATGCATACGAAATACTAGAAATAATATTATAGATGAAAGATACTACAATACATAAATGAGGTGTAAAAAGTAATAATAAAAGTGTATATATTTTTTTTGACCACGCGTTACCACAGTATATTATCTAGCGGTTAGGTTTCAGATCCAACGAATTAAAATATAACTATGCTTTTTTTATACAGTAATACTTCTGAATTTAACCAATACTTAATAAATAAAGGGTAGTAAATATTAAAAATTTAAATTTAGGTATAATCTGGTAGTCCTTATGATGTGAAGGTTTTATGAGCCTACTTAAAATTTAAAATAGTACATATGTAAGATTTGCGGAGGTTCACCTAGTTCACATAAATATAAACTACCAAAAGAAGGAGCCTATCTTACACACCCAATTTGATAATTTCTAATGTAAAGATTTATAAGTTCTCAGTTAATTTTTAATATAATAATATTGCGAATGTAAAAAACCTATTAATAATATATAGTGAATGTTAAAAGTTCGTATGGCACCCCTTATAAAAAATTTTTATCCGTATTTAACCTATTTCCACATATAAATTATCTATAAATTCAAATCTTATACTTTAACCATATAATATTTACAATACCCTTAATACATATTTATTATCTATAGGTTATAACCTTATATTTTTAGATTTTGGATTATTTTAAATTTTTTGGTTAAAAATTTAAGATTTTTTATATTATATGCTTTTTGAGGTAGCCTACCGGTTAGGCAGCGGGCTGTAAACTCGTGGTTAATACCAAAGTTGGTTCGATTCCAACCCTCCACATTTTATAATTTGTTTAATCATTTATATTAGTCATTTATTAGAGTTTACTTTATACAATTAACTATCTTAGATAATTTATTTTTTATAAATTATACTATTAGGATTAAATTAGAATTTATACGCAACTAAACATACCCCTATTTACTCCTTCTTTTTTGTTATGAGGTGTAATAATTAATATGCATATAATATTTCTATTGTATCCTATATTATACTCTAAATTCTTCAATAATATGTTGAATCAGCCTATGAAAGCCTATTATGGTATATATTAACATATAATTTTTTATTTTTGAATACAACCTATACTAAGATTACACCCAATACATCACAATTATATACTTTTGAAGTATTAAACATTTACATACACTTTATTTTTACATATAAGATCACAATACTGCGACCAAAGGGTGCCTATGAAAACATTTATACCATATTTTATACTATATTTTTATTATATTACCTTATACTATTTAATATCTCACCATTTGTTCTATTCTCTTAATCAATTTATCTTTAGTTAGGTTAGATCTTACTATTATTCTTACTTAATAGTTACACGTCTAAAAAACCATAAAAAAAAATAAGCTTACTGTTGGTGTGGTTTCAGTTTTTTATATACTCTGACGTGGTTGCCTTCCTCCTAATGTGGTGTAAATACCGTTTTACGCATAATTCCTATTCTTTACTCCTAAATAACGTTAATATAGTGTATATCAAATCCTACTTTTTATTCCTATATTCTATTTATTTGTTGTCGCCTTCCTCCCTTTATTAAATAGTTTACATAAACTAATAGTATAACTCCTTTTTTTTCATATATCGTAAAGGTAAAAAGTTCAATATATGGGTATTATATTAGATCTAATTACGGTATATTCGGTACCCCTAAAAATTGGTATAGTTCCCAGAATAAGAAAATATACTGCAACAGAGATTTAGACAGGTATCATTAAGCCAAGGGTGGAGCCTTTAGGCGACCTACCGGCGTTTGAGGTTGGTCGTAATATTCCGTTACGTTTAATTTATCCGAAATCTTATGCGTATCCACACACCTATTATAAGTTAAATTATGCGTAGTCTAAAGCGTAGTGTAAACGTAGCGATCTTTTTAGCGGGTATAATTTAAATATTAAATATTTCAGATGTTGTATAATAACCCAGTATATTAAACGTAGTGTAGCGTAGCGAAACGGAGTGACACTTTGCATACGTTACCTAATAGATTCGGTTATTTAAATATTAGGTAAAAATACAGGTAAATAATGTAGCATACGTTAATTTAATATTAAATGTAGCGTAATATTGGGTATTATTGGGGATGAAAAGTGGAGTGAAACGGAACGTCATGTAGCATAGGTAATCCAAATATTCGGTGGTTTCAGATATTAAATAAAAAACACAGAATAAAATATAAGTGAAGTGGAGCGTAGCGTAACGTAGCGTAACGTAGCGTAGGTTTGCGTAATATTCGGTTTTATTGGGAAAAAAATACAGATATCCAATGTTGTATATGTTACATTATCTAAGCGGAGTGTAAACGGAGCGACAGGTTGCGAAATAGTTAACTTTTACCCACCAAAGAAAGCGAAGTTTACGGAGCGTCATGTAGCATACGATACCCAAAATATCTAAATATTGAGTAAAAAGTTGCACATGTTATCTAATATTGGGTTTATTCCGAAATACTGAAACCTAAGCGAAGTGAAACGGAGCGTACTTTTACCATTACGCAGGTTTTAAACCGTAAAGAAAGCGGAGTGCAACGGAGCGTTATGATGCATACGTTACCCTATACTTTTTTTAGTGATCTATAGGTAGAACCACCCAAAATAATATGTAAATTAAGCGTAGTGGAGCGTAGCGGAACGTAGCGTAGGTTTGAAGTAATAGTTTACCTTTTGCGGTATTTAAAGCGAAGTGGTAACGGAAGTGGAACGTAGCGACACTTTACACACACCTAATTTAAACGGTATATTTTGTGTTAAGAATAAAAAAAACACATAATAATATAAAATACTGAAACTAAGCGTAGTTTACGGAGCGTCATGTAGCATACGATACCCAAAATATCTAAATATTGAGTAAAAAGTTGCACATGTTATCTAATATTGGGTTTATTCCGAAATACTGAAACCTAAGCGAAGTGAAACGGAGCGTACTTTTACCATTACGCAGGTTTTAAACCGTAAAGAAAGCGGAGTGCAACGGAGCGTTATGATGCATACGTTACCCTATACTTTTTTTAGTGATCTATAGGTAGAACCACCCAAAATAATATGTAAATTAAGCGTAGTGGAGCGTAGCGGAACGTAGCGTAGGTTTGAAGTAATAGTTTACCTTTTGCGGTATTTAAAGCGAAGTGGTAACGGAAGTGGAACGTAGCGACACTTTACACACACCTAATTTAAACGGTATATTTTGTGTTAAGAATAAAAAAAACACATAATAATATAAAATACTGAAACTAAGCGTAGTTTACGGAGCGACAGGTAGGGTAATATTAGGTGTAACAGCAGGTATAAAATATAACACACATCTAACTATTTAAACGTAGATTTTACACAGGTTCACATAGGTAAAGTATAGTTTTTAGATGTATTAATTTAAAGATATTTCGGGTTAATAGGGTATTTTTTACCCCACGTACAACCTATACACTACTTTTTTATATTTAATTTTTAGTTGTACCCCTTAATTTTTTATATGTACCTCTATTTTTTAAACTAAGCGTAGTGGAACGGAGCGACGGGTTGCAAAATATTCGGTATTTTGCGGGGTATAAAGTGGAGTGTAACGGTAGTGGAACGAAACGTCCTTTTGCCCCACATATTAAATTAAACGTAAAATATACGGAATAGAATAAAAAAGCAGGTAGCAAATGTAGCATAAGTTACATCTAATATGAAGCGGAGTGTAACGTAGCGTAGGGTTGCGGTATAGAATAGTAGAACAGCAGGTAGCCTACTTTTACACATCTACCACCTAATAGAGATTTTGCAGATATTCACGGATAAATAATAAATACTGAAACCAAGCGAAGTGAAGCGTAGCGTAACGGAGCGACATGTAGGGTAATAGTTAATCTTTAGTGGGATATTAAGCGGAGTATAACGGAGCGTGGTTTCAGCTTTTATCACATATATCTATTTAAACGGATATTTTACCTTTACGCAGGTTCACATTGGGTATAGAAAGCGTAGCGACGGGTAATCCACATACCTTATTATGTTTTTTTTTGAGTTAATCTGGGATATGCGGATATCTGATGTAATTTATTCGTACTAATCTGGAGTATTCTACGTAAATCTGGGGTATAAAAGGGTAGCGGGTATGCGTAATATTCTGTTTTATTCCGTAAAAAAAAGCGGAGTGTAAACGTAGCGTACTTTTGCCACACGTACATCTAAAACGGAAAATAATCCACAGGTTCACATAGGTATAGTATATTTACGGGTGCCACATATAAACTATATACAACTTTTTTAGGGTATTTTTAACCTTATATTTATTTTTATACAATATACCCGAACCTACCCTCTATTTTTATACCTCTTTTTTTTTACTCCACATATAAATTATCTATAGGTTCACGCAGGAATAGAACGGTATAATATAAATGTATTGCGGCCGCGAAAACCACCGTTTTTTTTTATAATTTCATTCTTTTACTAATATTTAAGATTTTTTATATATTTTCTTCTTTTTAAGATTTTTTATACATTTACTAATATTTAAGATTGTATAATTTATATTGTAGTTTAGTAGTTTTAATACTGCGACTTAGGAGCCTCTCTACACAACCTTTGATTTTTTTATATGTGGAAGGAAGTGGAACTACACCAAATTTAATTATATGTTATGAATTATAAATTAAGAAAACAACTGGTGGTGCACATCTTATTTATATGTATTATTTAGATATATTTATATAAGCGAAGTGTAGCGTAGCGTAACGTAGCGTAGGGGAATATTCCATTTTTATTATATTTTAGGTATACTATTACGCAGACTAAACCGTTTAAAGTAGGTATGTGGAAGGAAGTGGAACTACACCAAATTTAATTATATGTTATGAATTATAAATTAAGAAAACAACTGGTGGTGCACATCTTATTTATATGTATTATTTAGATATATTTATATAAGCGAAGTGTAGCGTAGCGTAACGTAGCGTAGGGGAATATTCCATTTTTATTATATTTTAGGTATACTATTACGCAGACTAAACCGTTTAAAGTAGGTATGTGG